TGCAGGACCACCCCAACTACAAGTACCGGCCGCGGCGGCGGAAGCAGGTGAAGCGCCTGAAGCGGGCGGAGAGCGGCTTCCCGCAGCACGGCGCGGCCGAGGCGGCGCCGCCGGCCTTGGGCCCCGACGGAGTCGGCGTCGGAGTCGGCGTCGGCGTCGGGACGTGCGCCGAGAGCCTGGCGCTGCCGTACGCGGAGCGCGGCTACGCGGCGGGGCCGGGGCGCTACCGGGACTGCCCGCCGCTGGGCGCCGCCTTCGACGGCTTCGGGCTGCCCACGCCGGACCCGTCCCCGCTGGACGCGGCGCACGGCGAGGCGCCGTTCTTCGCGCCGGGGCCGCCCGAGGAGTGCGCGCCGGGGCACTACGGCGGCTACGGCCCGGCGGCGGCGGCGGGAGACTTCTCGGCGGTGGGAGCGGGCGAGAGCCCCGCGGGGGCGGCGCTGCGGCGGCACCACCAGCACCCGCACCCCGCTGCCGGCGAGCTGGGGCCGGGCGGCCCGCTGCAGGGGCTGCTGGGCTGCCCGGCGCCGCCGCACTACTACGGGCAGCTGTGCCCGGGCCGCGGCCCGCCCGCTCCCGTGCCCATGGCCGTGGCGCTGGGCGCGCAGCCGTCCCCGCCGCCCGAGGCCGCGACGTGCCGGGAGCCGCTGGAGCACTTGCCCCAGGAGGAGCTGCTGGGCGAGGTGGACCGCAGCGAGTTCGAGCAGTACCTGCGCTTCGCCTGCAAGGCCGAGCTGGGGCCGGCCTTCGCGGGCCACGACGTGGCCGGGCTGGCGTCGCCCGAGGCTGCGGGGCCGCTGTCCGCCGTGGTGTCGGACGCCAGCAGCGCCGTCTACTACTGCGGCTACGCCGACGGCTGAGAGCTGCGGCGGTGCCGAGACGCCTCGCTCCTATTTATGTAATTTATTCGGTTGCTGAGGACTGCCGGGACCGGGGCTCGCTCGGAGTTCAGAGGATGCCGCGGTCGCGCCGCGCTCCGAACGATGCTGGGATCGCCGTTCCCGTCTCACCGCCTCGGTGCGGTGTTCGTACCGTGGAACCCCGGCGTGGCACACAGCGGGGATGTCATTCACGGCCGAGATCCTAGCGGAGATCGGGATAGTTTTGTAACGTTGTACAGAGTTCGGGTTTTTATATGTTGGTCGTGTACAGAGTATTTTTGCACTTTTCCAAATAAAGTGACAATAATAAAACCTCCCCTCGCTATCTCCTCGCAGAGTTGCGATCGCACTCTCCAAACTGCCACCGCCACTCTGTGCTGTTCCTGTGGGTGCCCCGGCAGTGAGGATACATCTCCGGTACAGGCTGCTGGTGGTCCCTGCCGTCCCTCTGCTCCAGGTGTACGTGTAGCGTTCCATGTTCAGGCTTTGTCTCCTCCCCCCCTCCCGAAGTGATGTTCTGACAATTTATTTGGTGGGTTTCTGAGACGGCTGCGACTGATCTGACCGCATTTAAAGCCACGATGGCAGGGAGGTGGCTCCGCGGGATTGCTGCTACTCGCCCGCAGTGGCACAGTACGAAGAGCGTTCACGAACCCTCACTTTTAATTTCCCTAAAGTAATTCTTGTAACAGAATGATCTTGATTATAGATAGAATTAGCTTTGCCACTGGCAAATAGGCACGGCCAGGTGCAAGCTGCCCGCGATCGCTGGGCTTCCCGAGGCGCAGCCCCATTGGCAGTATGCAGCGTCATTGACGCGCTGCTCGTGAGTCACCGGTCACAGCGCGTTACACCTGCCAGAGGATCTCCCCTCCTCTACCTACCCTTTCCGTCTGCAGAGCTCCGTCCCAGCGCTGCGCTCCCTGCAGTCTCACCGGACGCTCCCTCGAGGCTCCCACAGCGCACGGCAGAAGCGGCGCTCAGCATACGAACGCGGGCGGCCCTCGGTCACCTCTCTGCTGGTCCGTGTGTACCCTGCACACAGAGCAGTGTCCAGATAGTGCCCGGGATATAAACAGTGCTGGAGCAGTGGCTGAGTGTCACTTTCCTCACACAGTTTTAACCTACGTGGTTTGATTAAATTCATAAAATCATAAATAGTTTGAGTTGGAAGGGACCCTTAAAGGTCATCTAGTTAACCCCCCCTACAATGAACAGGGACATCTCCAGCTACATCAGGTTGCTCAGAGTCCTGTCCAGCCTGTCCTTGATTGTCTCCAAAGATGGAGCATCCACCACTTATCTGGGCAACCTGTGCCAGTGCCTCACCACCTTTATCATAAAACAACAACTTACTTATATCCAGTCTAAATCTCCCCTCTTTCCATCTGAAAGCATTTCCCTTTGTCCTATCACCATAAACCCTGCTAAAGAGTCTGTCTCCATCTTTCTTATAGCTCCCCTTTAGATACTGAAAAGCAGATATCAGCTCTCCCCGAAACCTCTTCTTCAGGCTGAACAGCTCCAACTCTCTCAGCCTGTCTTCGTAGGGGAAATATTCCATCCCTTAGATCATTTGTGTGGCCCTCCTTTGGACATACTCCAACAGGTCCGTGTCTCTCCTGTACTGGGGACTCCAGATCTGGATGCAGTGCACCAGGTGAGGTCTCACCAGTGCAGAGCAGAAGGGCAGGATCGCTTCCCTCGCCCTGCTGGCCATGCTGCTTTGGATGCAGACCGGGATACAGTTGGCTTTCCAGGCTGTGAGGACACACTGCTGGCTCATGTCCAGTTGCCATCCACCACTATCCCCAAATTCACTTTCCCCTTCACCCTATTCATGACTTTGTGGAGGAAAATCACTTCAATCGGTCTAGAACCAAATCACTCTAATGCTCTTGGTATGTTTGAACACCTCCTGGCAGTGATTATCAATACACTGTGTTAAATAAACATGGGAATTAGGAAACAGGGCCGAATGCATCCTCTTTAGCTGGTCGCCACCCCCCGCAAATGAATCCCGTGTCTCTCTATAGACGTGGAGGCCCCCCCAGCGCCAGGGATGCCCACGGGCACCGACAGCAGCCCCCAGGCCGCTCCGCTTATTTGCCTCAGCTAGGGCTGCGGGTGCCGCAGAACCGCGTACCGTCGAAGAACAACTCCGGTTTCTGGTGTCCCTCGCGGGGCCGTGGGGATCCCGAATACTTCGCTTTCGGCCCTTCGCTTCTGCTCCTCTCCTCCCGGGGTGGACAGCGCGGCATTTCGCTGAAGCGCCGCAAAGAGGAAGAGGGAAAGCGCGGCAAGTCGGGGAAAGTGGGATTTTCCGGCGGTTTCGGTCGGACCTTTGGGTTTAGATCAGCTCCCATAGGACGGCTGTGCCCGCTCTCCCCTGTCCCAAAGCAGCTCCCATCTCAGCCTCAACCAACGCATCTGGCCCGGGGACCCGAAGGAAGCCAGCATCCCTTTTCCCGTGTATCTATGTCCCCCTGTATCAGACATAACCCTCCGGATCAGTGCAGCGCGGCTCGTGGTGTTAGCTTTAAGATGCGCTCAATCAGTGCGAAGCCGAAAAGGGCAGAACCACAGAGCTCATCGGTGTCCCATCGCACATGACAGCGCTCACCAGTTTCGTGCCTACTCTCACCACCCGCCGCGGCATCCCCGATACGGACTGCGGGAGGCGGGATCGGGCCGGAGCGACCGGGCCCGGCCCCAGCGCGGCTCAGGTGCCGGCAGGAGCCTCGG